GCCAAACATAATGCCTAGAGGCTGGATTTGGCCAGGGACTGCCAATTTATAATCTCTGTTCCAGGGCCAGATCCATTGCCTGTTCTATAAAGAAAGCCAAAGCAACCCCCTTACTACCTTCTCCCTAAATGTAGGATGGCCTCTGAGAAGGGAGAAAATGTCTCTACAACAGCCAAACAAGGCAGTACGGAGTAGGGGGTGAGCACAAGGACACCCCCACTGGGCAGCAGGAGTGGCCTTGGGCAAATCACTTAACCTATGTGTACCTCAATCTTCTCATCTACAAAATGAGGATAATAAAAGTACTACCAAGGGTTGTTGGGAGGTTTAAATGAGTTTATATATAGTAAACACCTGTAAGAGCACATAGCAATTGAGATGCATTATCACAAACTGCTGTTGAAACCCATGGTGAAGATAGGAGGGAGGAGGCTGGGCTCCTTGACCCCAGCCTTCCTCCACACCATCAACGGGCCCAGGCTGAATCCAATCTCAGAGGCCCATCAGGTGGGTACAGGTGAGAGACAGGAGGGGCCGAGTCCTATCCCCAGAAAGAGATCTGACCAAAAAAGAAAAAAAAGAAATCTGACCAACCAGGAACCAAGAACACTACACACAAACAGATCAGAGACACAAAGATATTTTAAAGGAAAAAAGAGCTTTCCACAGCACAAAACAACATTTCCTCCTAAGATGAATGTGTTTTTAACTCATTTACAACATTCTGGGGCCCCAGTACTATTAATGGTTTTATTATTGATTAAAATTCCTTGTTTTTACTTTAAAGGACCTCAGAAGAAAAAAGGAGCCTCATGAGAGAATTCTAAGGTTTGCTTTAGGAAACCTAACATACAAAACTCCATGCCACGAGATTAGGGACTCTTAACCTGGAGTCCAGCAACAGGCTCGGGAGTCAAGACCTCTTGACACAGCATGCTAAATTTGGTGTGTATAAGCACGTTTTCATAAAACCCTCAAGAGAGGTCAGCAACCTCCAAAAAAGTCAAGAGTCAGTGAAAAGGACCCAAAGCAAGGAATGATTCGCTTTACAGGGATGGTCATCACAGAGTTCTTTTACCTGGCAATCTTCCCCAGTTACAAGATTTGCATTTCCCAGCACCTGGAGGGGCACACCTTCTATATGAAGTGAAATATCTCTGGACTAATGATTTTGTACGCCAGCTCCCTCTGTTTGTGGCACCTGTCAGGCTGCCTGACAGGGGCCCCGGGTCCTCATCCCAGCTCCCCGCATCTACCTGCTCTGTCACTTCAGGCATATCCTTTACCCTCTCTGAATCTACTTTCACATCTGTTAAGTGCAGATAACTCGGGTACTTCGCCTAGTGCTGGTACTTGACTGGTAGTGAATTTTCAACAAGTGTTATGATGATGATTACTAGAGGGGAAGGCCTCTCAGTGTATTTCCTGGGAAATACACACACTGCATGTTTGCACTCTGCCTATAACAGCCTTCCCCATCCAGAGAACTCCTACACAGCCTCTAAAGCCCAAACCAAATGCCCACTGCATAACTGTCCCAGAGCCCTGGCACCTGGTATGGCTGAGGAGAATCCTTCACCCCGCTAACCGGTGAGCTGCCTGAGGGCAGTAACTATGCCTTCCTACTTTCTGTTCCCCCAATGGCCAGCCCAGATGGTGCTCAATGAACATTTGCTCAATAATTAGGCTCTACTTAGAGACCTCTGAACCCCAGGTGGATATGTGGCCCACCTTAGCTGGCCACCTAGAGGACCACCCAGAGGTACAACCTGGTCCTATGAAGCAGGTGCATGCTCCAGGGGAAGCCAGCCCAGAAGAGCAATTCCTGACCAGGATGGAGGGGTCTGTCCCCAGATCTAACAACAGCACTATGGACACACCCATAATGCCGACTGCCAGCAAAGCCTCGAATTTTCAACAAGCACAGAGAAAGAACTCCTTGTCAACCACACAGCTTCCCCTTTAGCTGTCAATGGTGGCCTCGGCTCAGAAGTCTTAGGCAGGCTTGCTTGGACCAGAAGCCCCTCTCTATGCATAGACACATCCCTGGGACTGTTTGCACTGAGCTGCCCTGAGCTGAGCTGCCCCTGGGAACCTGTCCAGCCCTTCTCAGCTGCCCAGGCCCAGATGCGATGCCCTGCCCACCTTCACGCCCTCCAGGAGTGCCTGGGGGTCCTCGATGCCCTCAGGGACACACTTCTTGTTCTCTGGGAGGGATTCCAGTTTCTCCACCAGCGCTTTCAGGCCCTTCAGCTCAAACTCAGTGAGGTGGGTCCACTTGGCGGAGACCCCCGTGGCAGGGGAGCCAGTGGGCGTCTTGGGGTAGTCTGTGGGCACCGTCGTGGACTTCACACTTTCCTCCGACTCGTTAGACAAAGTCCTTTGGAGGAACCGCATGGCAGGTGCTTTGGGCTTCTTCCCGGGGGCCTCCTGGTCCTCTGACGGGGTGCTGGTGGGCGACGGAGGGCCATCGGCGGGTGGCTTGGGCACTTTATCTGCACCCTCCTCCTCCTCCTCCTCCTCTTCCTCTTCCTTCTCCTCTTGAGGCTGCTGGTCACAGGACTCCTCCTCCATCTCCAGCCAGGAATCAGATGAGAAGCCGTCTACGCTGGGCTTTCTAGGGGCATCTACAGGGAGCAAGAGGGTCACAAGAAAGACTGAGATGAAGGCCTCAAACTCCCTGCTAGATGTCCCTGGAACTCCACTCACTACACCTCCCCTTTACTCTGGACATCCAGCTTCTTTTGACAATTCTAATGGTCTATGCCTCCCTCCGCCTCTAGAAAGGCTGGGGTCAGTCAGACATAGGATCAAATCCCAGCTCTGTTTCTTCCCAGCTGTGTGTACCCAGACAGGTTGCTTCACCCCTCTGAATACACCTGGCATTTTATTTTTCAACATATAAAAATAAGGCCCAAAACGCATATGTTATATAACTATTCCATTCATATGAAATGTCCAGAACAGGGGGAAATCTATAGAGACAGAAAGTAGATTAGTGGGGTGCCTAGGCTGGGCGGGAGGGAGATAAGGAGATAACACAGGGTACAGGTTTCTTTCTGGGGTAAAGAAAACAACCCCAAATCGACTGGTGATGGTTGCACAGCTCTGGGAATATGCGAGAAACCACTGAGTTATACATATTAAATTGTATGATATGGGGACGATATCCCATTAATGTGTTTTTAAAAATATAAGGCAAAAAAATGCTTCCTCTGAACACTTGCGGTGAGGATCCCCTAAGGCATCACTGAGCATGGGTCCTGGCAGACAACCAGCATTTGGTACATGAGGCATCCGTGATGTCTCCTCTTTACTTTGGCGGGAGGAGCAGTGAGGCAGGGGGGAAACAGAAGCAAGAAATTTCAGTGACCCAAATGCTGCCTCAAGCTTTCTTCTTGTGCCTGCAAACGGAAATGGAAACGTTCTTCTACAGCCCTAAATATCCGAATGAGAGAAGTGACTCTCCGTTTCCTGGTCCTGAAGACTGCCGCAAAATCAAGCCTCTGGTCCCCACAGGAACGTGTAAGCTCCTACAACCACAGGGGTTGCCCCATTATTTCAGACTAATTTCCCATTTCCTACCAGGCTGGGAGCTTCCGGAGAGCAGGTTGTGGGATTTCAGGACTTCTCAACACCCGAATATTGCATCATCTGACACGTAGGAGACTCACAAGAGACTCCCCAGGCAAAACTGAATTTCTGGGAGGTAAATAAGCACTTCCCAATAAAGACTTCTGCAGAAACATTTGTTCTCCATCATCTGCCCAGTCTGAAACCCCTAAAAGTCACTAAGGATGAGAGTCAAGGGAAGGAGGGAAGGAGGCTTTTTACAGTGAGAAAAAAAAATAAAGAATCTAAAAATCCTGGGGATTGCAGGAGAAACCGTGCAGACCCTAAAGGAGACAGACCGATCATGTTTTTCTATCCCGTGATGAGAAAGAAGCAGTGAATGAGTCTCAGCACACTCTGCCTCCAGGAAACCCCTCAGCAGTAAGAGCTCAGAGGCAGGGGGGAAGGGCCGTGTTCTTCCAGATTGCTCCTCAGGGCTCACTGTCACAGCTAGAGGCAACCTCAGGCGGGCGTCTAGGAGTCAAGATTCAAGGATTGAGCCATTTGGGGGGTGATGTCCCTTTAAGTAAAGGCAGGAATGAGTCATTTGGGGGTGATGTCCCTTTAAGTAAAGGCAGGAAGGCAGGACTCCGCAGCTGCGGCTCTAAACGCTCTCTCCTGCATCTGTCAGAACCACCCACTGCTCTGCCAAGCTTGTGTCTCCAGCCCTGGTCACCCCTCCCGCTGGCTCAAAGCTGGCCTCAGAACTTCGAGACCGGCTGCACCTCGTGGGCCTGCTCAGATATAGACAAAAACCCAACCCCAAGGTGCAGGGGAGGGCTGAGGATGGGGGATCAGCTGGTGGCCCCGGAGGACTAAAACCACCAGGATTCTTCGCTCCGTAGGGATCCTGTTTCAGCAACCACACCTGGGACTCGTTCCTCAGCGAGACCTGGAGGCCACCAAGGTGACTCTGTTGGGGTCACAATTTCATTTTCTTGGACTCTGTATTCCAGATGGGAAGTTGACAAGGATGGCTTCCCCTCCTAAGGGGTCTCTAGGAGTCTGCCCGACACTTTGGTTTAAAAGAACTCCAGAAACCCAGGGACTCCCTAGGGCCACACTGAAAACATTCTTCCTGCCCAGCTGAGCAGTGGAGGTGGCTGGGCCCACATTTCACTCACCAATAAGCATTGATTCTCTCTGGTATTCCTGAGTGAGGTAGGACCGCTGGGTCACACAGTACACGTATCTTTCCAAGACATACCAGCACATCTCATAGTAGAAGGGGTAACGAAATTTGGGCTGCACCTGAAAGCAAAGACCCAGGGGTGGAAGTCAGTTTCTGGAGGGCAAAGGAGAACCAAGGGAGAAAACTGGGGGGAGGGAGTTTCTGCGGGTGGGAGTTATTTTCACCATCTTAACAAGAGCACAAATGGTGTGAGGGAAAAATGGGGGAGGCGGGCTGGAAGGCAGGAGAGAGGCGCTGGAAGGGGCAAGATACCAGTAGCATGCACATATGAGGAGGAAGAAGGGAGAAAGAGGCCTATGTGAGAGCATCATTTCAAAGCTCCCTGAGCGGCAGGCTGCCAGGAGAAGGCCGATGGGGTCCGCTTTGTGCTTCTGTTAGATGCAGAGAAACAGAGTTGTCCCCTGACCTGCTGACGGAGGGTGCGGGTACCTGCGGATGTGAGCCTGATTCCAGCTACAACAAACACAGGCTCCTCCTCGTTCTCAAAAAATTCTTGCACACACTCTGCTATCCCTCCCTGCCCCTTGAAAGACAGAAAACGACCCCCAAACCTTCCCCACTCGCAGACGGGCTGTCAAGCATCTCCTGCACTCTGGGAGGGAGACAACACCGGGTGGACCAATGAGGAGGGAGGGGGTGTGGCCTCGCCTACCTCCAGGGGTGGGGCCTCAGAGAGTCCCACCTCCTGCACCTCCTGCTCCTCCCGACAACCACCTGGCCCTGCCCAGCCTGCATTCCCAGAGGATTCTCTCGGACACAAGTCCCCAGGGTGACCTGGGGCGGCTCTAACACCAGGAGACACACGCCCAGGTCCAGAGCAGGAATCCAGATGGGGCTCCCCTTTGGGCCGTTTCTTAGAGGGGAGGAAGTGTAGGTGCAGATAGCTTTGTGTAGCAGAACTGTGAAAAGGCCTGGGCTTCAGGAGGATTCTCATGGGTGGGAGCGCGGGGTCTATATGGACGAGATGGCAGAGAAAGATGGCAAGGAAGCAATTCCACTGACGGCCTTGCACAGATGAACCTTCCAGAAACTTCATCCTGAGCGGGTAAGTGAGGAATGAGGGCGGTGAGTGGGTGGTCCCTGTCTCCCCCAGGGACTGAGCCCTCTTTTCCAAGGCTATGCGTAGATCTTGCAGGTCCACACTCACCCCGGACCTGCTCTCTTGCCCTCTCGCCAAGGGGGTGTCTGCTTCCAGGGACCTCTGCGGGTGCCAGAGACCCCTCTTCACCTCTCCTATCTTCCAGAAACCCAGGGAGTTGAATGTTAAGCAAGGACACTGTCCCACCTTTCTCTGCGACACTCTACAGGCAACACTCTACGTGTGGGATGAAGGCAAAGACAAGCAGACCTCGGTCCTCCATTTGCCCTAAAATACCACTTTCCTGCCTCTCTCACAGTGCCCACCTGGAAAAGGCTCCCCACTCTGCCCTCTCTGAGAGTCCCAGCTCAGTCCCCTGGCCACCCCAGGCCCCGCTGACTCAGTGTTCAACCGTGAGGCCCTTTTCCCACGTGGGGGGGTCTCACTTCTCCCATCTGCTTATTGGGTCCACTTGACCTCCCCACCTCTGGTGGATGTTATGTGTTGGAATGAGATCCTGGCCGCCGCATGCTTTTGAGCTCCTCCAGGGGGATGCATGGAGTTGGGAACATCTAGCGGTTTCCTTGGCTCCAGCTACTCTCCTGAGAACCCTGGTTTTAATGCTGGGATAGTAGTAATACTTTTTCACTGTCACTGGATCAGTGCCCTTCGGAGTTTAAAAAGGAGAGGGGCACTTCAGACTGAGACAGACCCTGACCTCCTGTAAAGAGGGGTCCGGGAGCCTCAGCCCTACCCCTGCTCCAGAGCAAGGACCAAGCGACTTTGAAACCAATTGCTGATGCCTACAGAGCAGGCTGAGGACAGGCAGGCCCGCCTCTTCTCGGACCCTCACTCACATCTCCTGACTTCAGATTCAATTGGTAAGACTCTTGAAGTTGCTTTTGACCTTTCAAATTTTGGGAAACCGTGCAAGCCGCTCTGCACTCAAGGGCACCATGGCGCCTCAGAATCTTTCTAGATCAGGAAAAAAATATATATTTTGGCTGTATGTCAGGAGAGGAAGAGAAGTCTCCCCTCATTGTTGCTGAACCCAAGGGAAACCAGCTGGGTGAAAACAAATGCTGATGAAGGAATTCAAATTTTTTCATTTTATTTTTATTTTTTTTTTTCCAAGAGAGCACGGCAGGAAACAAAATTTGCAAAGAATTGACTTACAAACGGGTTGTCGCCTTCCACCCTTCGCCTTCAAAAGGTTTCAGCCACATGCCTGGGAACATTAAACACACGATTGCTCAACATTATTTGTTGACAAATTCGGAGCCTCACCAAATTGAGTTGTTCACCGAAAGGCAAGGCAGTCAGAAAGCATGCAGCGCTCCCAGCCTGGGGGGTAATCAGTCTGTCAGCAGATCTCAAGGGGTAGCTTTGAGTTCCCAAAGGCCCATAAGAGTAGCATTGGCCTTAGCCCTTCCTCTTACAGCTGAGTGACCTCAGGAGAGCAGAACCAAAAGTGTTTTGGTGCATCTATTACTCCCAGGTCTCAAGGAACTTGAAAAACTAAAATATGAGGGTGGGTGGAAGTGTCTTAAAATTTGTTTTTCTCCTGGAAAAAAAAAAAAAAGTCAATGGGAAAAAAAAAAAATCCAATGGCAGAGGAAAAGAGGAGAGGAAGGGAAAATTATTTGCAATTTCCAAATAGATTCACTGGCTGAGAGGGAATGGAGCGTGCGGCGTTACCTTTCCTGAGAAAGCTGCCTTCACTAGAGCCATTAAGGAGGAAAAAAAAAAAAAAAAGATAAACATAAGAGAGACGGCAGTTTAATGAATGATCAACTGGACCACCCTGTCCCTTATCAAGCTAACTGGAGTTAAAAATATGTAGTGATGTTTGTTGAGACGTTATCTTCACATAATAAACATGCAACACGTCCAGTCCTTGGTATAGTTCCTCCCCACCTTGCATCTTTACAATGAGAGGATTTACTCTGCACAGGGAGGGGGGACACGTGTGGGTTTCTACACATTGGAAACCACCAGGCCCTGGCAGGGCAGGGCCTCAGCGGCAGCAGGGTAAACACCTCTATCACCCAACGCCCCCAATATCAAAGTGAGACGCGGCTTACTAAACATAGGAGACCATTGGGGTTCCCCTGGTCTGGATGGGAGGGGGGGTTCCCCACCTTGGGCCACAAAGGCAAATTCTTTTTCTTTTTTTTTTTAAAGATTTCATTTATTTATTTGAGAGAGAGAGAATGAGAGAGAGCAAGCACATGAGAGGGGGAGGGTCAGAGGCAGAAGCAGGCTCCCTGCCGAGCAGGGAGCCCGATGCGGGACTCGATCCAGGGACTCGATCCAGGGACTCCAGGATCATGACCTGAGCCGAAGGCAGTCGCTTAACCAACTGAGCCACCCAGGCGCCCAAGGCAAATTCTTTTTCTAAGACAAATCCACACCATGGGGCTTAAAGACTGACAGTTTCCTGTCCCACCCCCTGCCTCTGGTTTCCAAACACAGCCCTGTTTTAGGGACTCTTGAAAAACTATTTTTAAATGGCCATAACCTTCTTAAGAAAGCTCGCAGGGATGTAAGGAATTAAGCCATAGCGAGCTGACAAGGAGCCCTGGTATTTTATCTGGCTTCTAGTGCTCTCTCCCCAGCATCTTTTGTCTGCCTTGGCTCCTAAGACATAAACAATTGGGCCTTGTAGCCAAGCCCTCTCCAAAGACCAGAAATCAAAGCAGATTAAACAGCCTGCCTCTGCTTCCGGCCCAGCCCGCCCGCCAGCCCCCCGCCCATCAACCTGCTTCAGGGAAACCAGATGGGGCACCCCATTCAGACGACAGGGACAGTGGGCCTTGGGGGAGGGGACCCTGCCGCGCTCATCTCAACGTGGGCCTGATAGTCTCTGGGCGCTCACTGTGACGCCGAGGGTTCTACACTGTTACCCTCCCACCCGCCTCCCACAGGGGAGGGGAGCTGGACTCCTGACGGAAGGATGGGGCCCAAATGCGCTGAGACGTACAATCCGGATTCCCTGGGGGAGGGGGGACAGCTGCCAAGCAAGTTGCCAAAGCCTTTAGAAATCCCAGCCTGATTCTGGCTTTCAAGAATTGGCTGGGAAGTCATAGGCCTCACTTCTAGATTTCTCCTTTTTTATCCCGCACCTCCCTAGTCTGTTCGCACGCAAACTGGCCCATTCTTCAGGGCTGGCCAAGGAACAGTTGGCCGGAACCCCGGACAGCACTTGACCCAGACTATGAGATGACCACTCACACCCACATGGTGCCTTTCTCCAGGATGCCACGGGGTGGCCTCCCCCAGACCAGGGCTGGGGCCGGCCTCCCCCAGACCGGGAAAGGGGTGGTGGTCAGGCAACAGAGAAAAGAGGCGCGAAAATCCACAAAATAAAGACCCAGGCTCTGCAGATCCGGGCATCCCAGCAGCAAACCCGTCAATCTGAAGATACACAGTTGCTCTTGGAAACACACCTGACTGCTGAATGTAGCTCAAAGTTGTTCCCAGGAAACCCCCGGACACAATCCCTCAACGTCGGGACTATTCGAGAAGTCTGATACACACACAGTAGCTAAGATTTTTGGTTCATATATGTGATTCTGCACAGCTCAGGGCCTAGAAACAAGACCAGGAAAGACGGGGACCCTGGGCCCAGGGCATCTGCCTCGATGGGATGCTTCTGTAGAGTCCCAGCATGACAATACCTCTCTGGGGCAAAAAAGTCACCTCTGAGGCAAAACCCAAGAAGATGTGGTGTGGTCCAACCATACAATGGAATATGACTCAGCCATAAAAAGGAAGGAAGCAATGATACCTGCTACACCGTGGAAGAACCCTGAAGACATCATGAGACGTGACAGAAGTTGTTCACAAAAGGACACGATATAAGATTCCATTTCTATGCAATGTCCGGTAACAGGCAAATCCGTAGAGTCAGAAAGCAGATTGTTGGTTGTCACAGGCTTGGAGGGTGGGGAGTGGGTTTATGGAAGGTGACTGCTAATGAGTAGGGGATCTCTTTCTGGGGTGATGAAAATGTCCTTGAGTTAGAGCTGGTGACTGCACAACACTGTGAATACCCTACATGCCACTGAGTCATGCCCCGTAACTGGTCACTCGTATGGTACGCGGATTATAGCTCAACAGAAAAAAGAGATGAGTATTTGAACAACTGTAAGAAAAAAGAAGAAAGAAGGGGCCCTCTTGGCCCCAGTTTCCCACCCTCAGACCTATCTCTCAGTTGCCTTGGGACACTTGGCCAAGCCCCACAATGGGAAAGAGGGTGCAGATGCAAGCAGCCAGCGTTCCCCTGAGGAAGCTCGTGCAGTGGAGTGATGCCGAGGGCACACAGGTGTCCAAGCCTCGGCCCCGGTCCTGGGGGGTGGGGGTGGGGGAGACCCTATGTCTGAGAAACGGTTACTGTCACAGTCAAGAGGAAAAGCCCCCCCCCCATCCCACCCACACCTGCAAGCAGACACTGACACACAGCTCAGAGACAATACCGAGGGCCTCCCAGATACTGGCTTTCTCAAGGCGCTATATCACATTCGGGGTCCCTGGGTGGAGGAGACACATGGCCAAGAGCTGACCTTTCCAAGGCCCCCCTCCGAACCACAGCAATAACCACCACAAAATCCCCCCCAACTCCCGTGCATCCCTCTCTACACATGAGAAGAAGAAAGAGGGAGGGTTCCTGACATCTTGCAGTGCTTTCTCAATAGATAGTTCCTCTTTGATGAGGGGGTTTTGGCTGCCACTGGCCTGGAGATGAACAGAAACTCCAGGGACTCTGGGTGGGGCTCTTGGAGACAGCCCCCCGCAGGGACCAAGGCCTGGCTTGAGGCAGGGGACAGGAGGGAGGGGGGACCACAGAGGACTTTGGAATGACTCGTCCCACACACCCCGAGCACCAGGCAGAGCTCAGGGGCCGGGCAATCCCACAAGGAGAGAAGGAAGCCACCTTACCCGTGTTCTGTCCTCGATCTCGTAGATCCGCAGCTGCATGGGCACGTTAAAGCTGTGCAGGATGTTTCCGCCAAATACCAGAGAGTCTACAGGGGTGTAGACTGCATGGATCCAACCTGGGGTGGGGAGGGCACAGAGAGGGTCAGCCACTGGCCCCTGGACCACTGGGGAGGGTCACCGACAGAAGCACGCAGAAGGGCACAGGAGGCCCAGGGGAGGACCCGGGGCCAGAATTGAGGATGCCCGGGCTGCCTGACGCAAAAGGCAAGGTTCCGGGCTGCCTGACAGGACTCAGACACACAGCCCCGATGGACTACTGCAGGTACTGACCCCTGGCTGGCTCGAGACGGTGGTGGGCAGCGGAAGGGCCTCGACAAAGGCTGCCTCGTGTTGCTGTAGGCCAGGCTGCAGCAGCCAGCAGAGGCAGGCCCTGTCCCCGTCCCATGCTGGCCAGGGAGCTGGACACCTCTCATTCAGGCTGCTCATCCATCCCTGAGCCTCTTCCCCGGCATCCCTGAGAACACCCATCTCAGGAGGCGTCACAAAGGATTGCTTGGGGCCACAGCTAACGAGTGATGCCTGCCAAAACTGCAGGACCCAGACACGTTCCTGCCTGAGGCACAGAACAGCGAAGTCACCTGTAAGGACTGGAACCCAGGGCGTCGGCCTCACTTGGTCCATGAAGGCTAGACAAATCAAGCCACCCAATTCCTTCGCCAAGTACTAACACATGTTTCCAGGGCTCAACAGACCCACATGCGCTCCCGCCTACAGTAAAAGCGCTGAGCTAGGGGACAGGCAATATTATAATCCACTCCCATTTACGGATGCTGAAACCAAGGCTAAGAGAAGGTAAGTCACTTGCTGAATGAAGTCACAGCGTCTCCGTTCTGAACCCCTACGCTTCATGGCCCCTCTATCACAGGCTCAGCACACCAGGCCTGCAGGTCCCAGGAAACGGCCAGGGAGGCAAAAAGAGACATGCAGAGAGAAACAAGAGAGACAGAGGTAGGACAAAGACAGACAGAGGCAGAGAGACTCACAGGGAAAGACAGGATCGGCAGAGGAGAAAGGGGACAGACAGGGCAAACCAAACCTCGAGACCCCGAGACCCCAAGCCCAGGTGTCCACGTCTCCTCTGACCCCTCTTCTCCGAGCTGTGTGCATAACGTGTTTGCGTGGAGGATGACTACAGAGCCCCCACCCCGACCCAAAACATGCCCGCCCTGGGTCCCAGGCAGCCACAGCTGGCCGCGGCTGCCGGGAGCAGAGGTTCGAGGCCACTGCTGCCCTCTATGGGACACTCGGGGCGCTGGTCCTGCCCTGCGGGGAGGGGAGTGGGCTGAGCTGGCGGTCCTGGGGCAGAGCGGTCCTGGGGGAGGGCGGGGGGAAAAGCACCAGCGCAGAGCACACGAACGAAGGCTCTATGCAAGCTGGTTCTGCCGTTAGCTCCCCACACTGGCTGTGCTGTGCAGGTGTGCTCTTGTCGTGTTACCTAGGCGCCTCGTGCAGGACAAGCATGGCTGCCGCCTTGGCTTCCCCACCTGCTTCAGCCTCTCCATCTCAGCTGTGTGCCGGCTGATTTTCTCAGCGGCACGTTTTTATATTTTTGCTGGGCAGAGCTAAGCTGGCTATTACTGTTCTTATTACCACCATCAACGTGACTTAAGCAACATTTCCTAAACTGGGACCCAGGACTGTCAGGGTCAAGCAGATGCACATGGTGGGGTGAAGCCTGAATGGGGCAAAGATTCCTGGGTCTTGTTCCTATGCTCCTCACATGCCCAGCCAGGGCCCTACAGAAAGCCCTAGCCCCTCGGACCTGGGTTGGAAACCGTCCCATGGCCGACTCACCATGTGATATGGGGCACTTGACCACCCCTTCTCCTGGCCTCCATCTGCCCATGTGAAACGAGGGAGATCACTGTCTCCCTTGTGGGGAACCTGGTGAGCAAGAACTCAGTCCACGTAAGCAACTGCCACTGATATTCATGGTTGTCTCGTCCATCTTGAAGGCTTTGCAGAGAGTGGTGCCCACGTAAATCTGCATTTAAGGACTCTCCCTTCTGTCCTCTCAGGTGGAAACACAGACACACCTGACTTACACCTATTACTCTACTGGGTGAGCAAAGAGGGAAACGCAAGAGAGGTTCTGTTTCAAGTGGAGTGGCAGGGAATCTATATCCCCAGGCATTTCAAGGGGTTCTAGAAGCTTCTACCCACTCTCCTCTAGTCCCCAAGCCAGGGCCTCACAGGTGGGTCAGGCAGCCTCAAATGGATTAGTCACTGCCAAGTTCCTCCCCCTACCCTTCCTCAGATCTGCTCCATGACTTAAACACTCCCTCAGGAAGAACCAGGGAGGGGAAACAACAGTGCTCATAGGCTCCATCCATCCCCACCCTCCTGATGGTGTCTCCTTGGCTGCACCCCAGGAAGCATGAGAGAGCAGGTGTCCCAGGCTGGTGACTGGGCTGGGGAGCATGGCATCTGCCTCTTGCTTCCGGGCCAGAGTCACCAACATCAAGGCAGTAACGGGTGATTCAGGCCAAGCGACAAGGGACAGATGCAATCATGGAGGGAAAGCAGGCAACCCACAAAACCTACCGACAGGTGTTCTCTGGGACCTGAGGGGCAGTGGAGCCCAGGGAGTCTCTCTTGCCCTCAACCCAGACACTCAGGATTCAGAAACGAAAGTCCCCCTCCCCCCCACCCTGCCATCCACATTTGTCTGTCTTTGTGGCTGCTGTAGGGGTAAACCCAAAAGTCTATGGGTAAACCCCATAGAACTCGGGGGCACCTCACAAAGGGCCACGACCTGCTTCCTTCATGAACTCCCTGAGCTGGGTCAGGCCCTGGGCTGGGCAGGCCAGCTGCCAAGGTGTAGCCTCTCCTCTCTAGGACCTCCTAGCTGCTACCAGGGACCCAAACTGGCAGGCCACAGGCTGCGGCAGACTCACGATGGGGAAATTTGACAAGACAATCTGAATTGCTTCCTCCTCTAGAAAAGCAGGAAGATGGGCCCACCAGGCCATTCTCCTCCAGCTTTAACTGGCTTGAGACGCGTAGCAACTGTCCAGTTTCCTGGAGCCCACCCACCCTCTGCCTCCCATCCAGCCAGCTTCACTGCCGCCCTCTCCCTGGTCTGTACCCATTTTACAGGTGGGTCATCTGAGGCCCAAGCCACATTACACTATTAAGTAGCTTCAGGTTACTTTTTCTCAGACTGGCCGCAGTCTAAGAAACACCTAGGGCTACCCGTGAATTTGGGGTCATGAGTGATTTTTTTTTTTAAGATTTATTTATTTATTTTAGAGTCAGAGAGAGAACAGGGGGAGCAGTGAGAGCAGAGTGAAAAGGAGAGGAAGAGAAGCCACTGAGCCCAGAGCCCGATGTGGCACTCAATGTGGGGCTCAATCCCATGACCCAAATATCATGACCTGAGCCAAAATCAAGAGTCGGATTCTGAGCCACCCAGGCGCCCTTGGGCCATGGGTGATTCTTACTACAAAGCAAGGCTGGGAAATACTTTCAGGCCAGTCCAAGCCACTGACCTCAGGGTCTTTCCTAGGTTCCTATACTGGGCTCCCCATCCTGGCTGCTACCTGGCTGGACACACATTCAGGACAGAGAGAATCTATCGTATAGCCTCCCTATGACCTTCCACACTGCCAAATGGGCCCTTAAGGAAGTTTGTTAAATGAGCAAATAATTCTCCCAAAGTCATATGGCTGAGAAGGAAGACCGGATCATCAGTCTGCTGACTCCCAGGCTAATGGGGAACCAGGTCAACTCTGAAACTAGACACACCTGGGCTCTTGCCCTGCTCTGTTGCTTATTAACTGTGTGACCTTGGACTAGTTTGTTCACCTCTCTGGGCCTCAGGGACCTTCTTTATTTAAGATTTTTTTTTTTTAATTTTTTAAAGTAATCTCTACACCCACTGTGGGGCTTGAACTCACGACCCCAAGATCAAGAGTCATGTGCTCTACCAACTAAGCCAGCCAGACGCCCCCACAAACCTTCTTTATTTAAAGAAAAGGCAGGGGAGAAATAAGTTTCTCCCCACATGCTTATGAAGAAGGTAAGTAATGTATGTAAAATGTTTGTTGCTCAGTAATGCGAGTTATTATTACCATTAACCATAGTTCCCCTCAGCTGGTGCAGCCAGAGGAGGAGGCTGAGCCCATCCACATGGTCAGGGCATTGGCCACAGGCATCACATGAAGGAAAAAGATGTCACTGGGTCCATCTGACTTCCGATTCCTTGGAGATGATTTCCACCTCCAGCTTTCCATCCACCTAACGATCAGGCTGAATCTGGGTAACCTGCCAGGCACTCCGGAACCTGACTGTGTGCCCTGGTGAGACCATTATATTCCCACTGCCTCGGCCACCTTCAAGTCTTCCCCTTCCAGGCAGCTTTCCCAGACCACCCAAGAATGAGGCCTGAGAACCACCACCCCTACAGCACACCATGACCCAGCCCCTTCATCCCAGAAACAAGAAGAAAGAGTTAAACCACATCTTGCAAAGACACGGGAACATTTAAAACCCTCCCAACCTGGCAGCCTCCCGGGTAGCCTTCAGAGTTGAAGACCTGCTGAATGACCCCCAGGGAGACGTGAGGCCAGCATGAGACAGGAGGATACGTGTCTAAGGTCGCACGGTGGGGACAAAAATCCATGTCAGAAGTGAGAAATGCCAAAATTAGATGCTCTACTCCTGATACAGGAAAAACCCACATGCAGAGAGGCCTTGTTGCCCAAGGCTGGCTCTCCATTCTCCACCCAAAGCCACACTCCAACTCCCCCGACCCTCAGCTGTGTGTTTGCCCACAGCTTAGCGGTGTGGACGACGGAAAGAATCCCCAGGTGCCCAACTACTTCTGTAACTACAAAATTCTGGTCCTTCAGTTTTCACTGGTTGGCAACAAAATGAGAAAAATGACGATGACACAGACTGTCATAAACTCAAAACTATCAAATTTAAAGAACTGTCCTTGGGCGCCTGGGTGGCTCAGATGGTTAAGCGTCTGCCTTCGGCTCAGGTCATGATCCCGGAGTCCTGGGATCGAGTCCCACATCGGGCTCCCGGCTCGGCAGGGAGCCTGCTTCTCCCTCTGACCCTATCCCCTCTCATGCTGTTTCTCTCTCTCTCTCTCTCAAGTAAATAAATAAATAAAATCTTAAAAAAAAAAAAAAAAAGAACTGTCCTTTATTCCGAAATTACAGATTTCCAACTTTTTTTAGTGTCAGGATCATCTTCCATTTGTGAAAATCAGCAATAGTAGATGCCAGGTTGTTGTTTTGTTGTTGTTTTAATTAATGCCTATCTTTAGCAAAACTACAAATTTGTAACTACAAGCTCCGAACTTTTTTAATTTCATTGGTCCCTGCAGAAATCAAGGCTTGGGAACCACATGTACCCCCTGCCTCTGAGAAGGTGACAAATTCTAACCGTCCTTTTTTCACTTCCGAACATCCTGGTGTCTCACTCACAACCCTCAGGGCCAGGAGTCTTTACTGGGGTCTAACTGCTAGCTGCAGTTCAAATCCTCCTCTTGCCTTCCACAGACAGTCACACCCCTGCTGGGGCTCAGATGCCGCTTCTCAAGGCTTTTTACAACTTGCTAAGTCACCAAAATGAACACCCCTCCCATCCCAGACTGAGGGGAAGCAATGAGCCACCTCCCAGCTCTGCAAAAGGCCCTGAGAAAAGAAGATCTGTCCTCCCAGGGAGGTTAGGAGGCCAGCACTCAGTGGGACCAGGCTGGGAGGGACCTGGAGGGTTCCACAGTTCAGCCCCACCCCACTCCCACTGGAGGTGGGATAGCTGAGGTACAGAGAAGGGAAGAGACCAGCCCAAGGTCACAACGAGAGTCAGCAGCAGGGTCAAGAGCATTATAGAGGTCCCTTGCATCCACCATGGCCAATCCTCCAACACCTAAAGAGTGGCTTGAACACACTTGAGAGGTCTCTGTGCCACATCTGCCAAGGTATGTACCATAAACTCTGTCCACTGACTGTAACCCATTCCTGTCCCAAGAGGGGTCCCTCCCCTCCCCAAGTCTGAGGATGGACCTGGGGCCATGGTAACAAAGTCACCCCCACTAAACCCTGCCACTTCCAAATCCCCAATTTCCCTAATAGTGAAAATCCCTACTTTCCACCCAACTTTCTAGAAGAGCCCAAGTGTGCAGGCCCCATCCCCCCGGTGGGAGACGCTACCATCACAGCCCCCTCTTCATTTGACGCTAGTGCTTCATGTCCAGACCCAAGGCCAGCTTCCAACCCAACTCCCAGAAACCTAAGTGTGACCAACTTCTCCATCCAATGGATCTTAGTTTCTTCAAAGGATACTCCTAAGGTTCAAAGGATACTCCTTCGTTTCTTCAAAGGATACTGCCCACTCAGTGGCAAATTCCCTGCAAGCTCCTTAGCACAGCCATATACAGAGCCTCTACTTATATACACCCAGTGACAGGGAGCTCACTACCTAGCAGAGCAAGTCATTCCAACGCCACTTGGCTGTACCTCTTCTTCCAGGAGACAATCTTTCAACTAAGCTGACTGGCTGCTGATCCGATACACCTTTACTTCCCTGGGTAAAACCACCCAATTCCTCCTCCAAATTCATCTCACCTGATGTGACATCCAGACTCTTATCTCCAGGACGACTTACTTACTCTCCAAAGTATAGTGACCAAAAGGAGCACAACTTCCTAAATGTGACCTGACCCCCTTACTTTATACAGTGGGACTGTCACCTCCCTCATCCCGGATAAAATGTTACCGTTAATGCAGCCAAAGACTGCACTCCCTGACCCCTAGAGCATCTGTCAAACTCACTGGCGCCTCAGCCTGTAACCGCCCAAAAGCCCTCAGTCCATCACCAAAGAGCTGTAGGCATGTAGGTCTCAGCTCACTCAGTCCTCACTACCACCCTGGGAAGTCTCACTCCCATTTTACAGACACGAACACCGAGGCACAGAGAGCTTAACTCACTCCTGTGAAGTCATAAGCACCAGAGGTGAAATTCAAACTAAGGCCGTGCTGACTCCGGGGCCGGCGCTCTTAATTACTGCCCTCTACTCTACTTGCAGCCTTAATTTCTTTTTCTCTTTTCTTCTTCTTCTTCTTCTTTTTTTTTTTTGGCGGGGGGGGGTGGGGGTGGAGTCCAAGTGCAAGAGCTGACGTTGACCTTGACTATATTTCACTTTGTTCTGCAGGAAGGAGGCAGCCACATCGGGTCCTTCCCCAAAGCTACATTCCCCTCTGCCCATTCCCTAGGCTTTCAGACACCCCTGTAAGACCCCCCACCCTGGGGTCCGCCCTTGCCCAGAACCTGCGTGGGACTGCCATTATCATACGCTGCTTCCTTGGGTAAAACAACCCAATTCCTCCTTCAAGGGGGCGAACCCAGCCGCCTCCCCACAGTACCACTGTCATCCCCTCACACAGAAATCTCCACAGGACGTCCTGAGGGAAGCCATTTGCGCTTCCCCTGAGGGAGGGTGCTAGGCTTTTTCCCCACGAGTGAATTCTAGCCCACAGGCAGGGAGACACAGGTTAGATGCGAGAGGGACAGGGGGCTGCTTCTTCCTGCAGCCCGAGGCCTGCCTCTCTCAGGGACTGCCAATGGCCATGCGGCCCACAGAACCCCGTCACTGGGCCCAAAACCCTGGCTGAGGCTAGAGTCTTCTCCCAGGGCTGGGAGAGGTGGGGCCAAGGGAGAGCCCGGCGCCAGCCTTGCCGGAACCTACCGGAAGGGATGAAAAATGTGTAGCCCTGTTTCAGCTCAATTCTTTGGCATCGCTCCACGCGGTCTCCCAGAAAGATGTCACTTTGTTTGCCTGACAGCACCCACTCCTCGTACAGTGCCAAGTTGTGCAGGGTTGGAGGAATCAGCCAAAAGATCTTGGGAGGAAAAGGAGGCAATCAGCTGAAGATCCGGGCCAAAGTCCTGGATTCCTTCCAGGCTGTGCCACAACCCAAGGAGACAGCCCCACCTGCCCGGGAGCGGGGAGGACAGGGGACCGCCTCCAGACCCCAGGCCCAAAGGGTCTCTGGGGTGGCAGGGAGGCTCTGCCGCCCTTCTGGGACACCCCTTGCCTGCCTTTAGGGAATCTCCATTCCCACTGAAACACCAGGGTGGATAGAGTTCCTGGACTGGGTGGAACATTCTTTCTCCTGGGCCACAGGCTTGCTGGGGAGGTAAGGGAAGGAGAGGAAGGGAATTTCCTAAGTTGTACGATAAAACGGTCCAATAAATAAACCCAGCCTGCGCTCACTCTGGAGAGGGAGGAAAAACATCTGGAACCAAGCAGGATGACTTCCTACCCAGAATTTCTTCCAACACGTTTGGTTAAAACAAACGCACACACAGACGCAGACGAGCAGGGCGATGCGCGACCGCTCAAGGAGCACCCACATCCGTGTGGGGCGCACGCGGAAGCAAATGCGGCAGCAGCATCCTGAACGCACGCACCACCTCCTCTCTCTGGGTGACGTCTGTCCCTCAGATAAAATGTTCTTGGAGGCAAGTGGTGCCGGCAACTAGACTTTTACGTTAAACGGTCTCAGTGCTGGGACAGCGGGCAAAGTGAATGCCGGGAGTTCTTGGCAACCAAGGCTGGAGCTCTGATCTGGCCTGAGGTGCAGAGAACACTGGACTGGGTGAGCAGGTGCGAACAGATAACCAGATGTGATGCGGAAGAGCTGACCTGGATCCTTCCCTCCAGACGACAGAGAGTGGGGAGGTGGCCCTGAAAGTGCTCACAGGGCGGGAGCTGGCTGGGCGCGGGGCAGTGAGGACAGGCGGGAGGGCGAGCGAGTCCCTCCATTAAGAAACAGCCAGGACAAGGGGCACCTGGGTGGCTCAGTTGTTAAGAAACAGCCAGGACTCGGCTCAACTCACCTTCCCACCCCGGAAAACATGGTACCAAACGGAAGTGCCTCCGAAGTCGATGTGGAAGTCAGTGAAACAGCCTTTCACGCTCATCAGACAATACCTGTGGCATAGAAGCAGGGGAGAAGGAAAAAAAAAAAAAAATCGTTCAGTGCCTGAATCACAGGAGGTGGGCCAACAGCCTCAGAGGTGCCTGACCTGCTGCCCTTTTAGAAATGCTAACACTGGGGAATTTTCTTTTCTTTTCTTTTCTTTTCAAACCCAATTCTAATCGGAGTTCCCCCTGGGGGAAGCCCCTGTGATCAGATGACAAATCTCAAGCACTGGCCACCTGCTCCCAAGGCTGGGGGAGGCATCTGGGTTTTCAGGTCCCCAGGAGAGAGCTGGCAACCCACAGTCCACTTGGTTCCTTCCTCACAGACGGCTTCTGCTCTTGCCCCACCCCCACTCCCACCCCAGGGAGGACAGGCTTCCTTTCTGCTCCCTCCCAGCGCCTGTCCCTGCAGTTCTCCCAAGATGCCAGTCCCCTCTGCAGCAGCTGGGCCCCTGGAATTCCACTGTAAGCCACCTGCAAAGCTTGCCAATTACCACTCCCCATTCATCTCTTCATTCGCTCAACAAGCGTTTACGGAGAGCCAACCGACGGTCCAGCCCAGAGCTAGGCAGGCACTTAGAGAAATGTGTCAGAATGCATCAGCCCCCTGCCCTTCAGGATGGGACGTTCTTAACGGAGCAGTGCACAGGAAAAGTGAAATAGCAAGACAAACTGCCACTAACTGAGAAGTGAGCAATGCAGCTCCAAGTACAGGGGTACCAGCCACAAAAGATCACCGTGTAGGATTCCACGGATATGGAATGGCCCGAGTAGGCAAACCTACACAGACAGAGATAGATGAGGGGCGGCCTGAGGGTGGGGGTGGGGGGCAGGGATGTGGAGTGACTGCTAATGGGGACAGGGTTTCATTTTGGGGTGATAAAAATGTTCTGAATTTGACTGTGAATGCACAACTCTGTAAACATACAGAACCACTGAATTGTACACTTTAAATGAATGAATGGTATGTGAATTCCATCTCCATATAACTGCTAAAAAAAAAAGTAAAGGGATTAAGAGGGAATGCTGGGGGTGGGGTGGTGGACAGGCAGAGGGGAGAACCTGGGCCTCAAAGGCTTGGGGGGAGGAGGTGCATTCAGGAGAAGGAAGCCACCAGCAGCCCCCCTTCTGAGCTCTCGCAGCAGTCAGATAACCCACCCTTCCCTACAGGAACTCACCAGTCTCCTCCCTCCTCCCTTGACATGCTGCCGTCCTAGGGGTGGGCAGAGCTTAAGGGGGGCGGGGGGGGTGCCCGATAGAGCAGGCTTCCAAGTCCAGGCCTGGCAGACAGCGATGCCAGGGCCCCCTCTTTCCCTCCCACCTCTTCCCACAAGAGCCACCGGCAGCACGGATGGGGCAGCCTCCCCACGGCTCATGCTCATGCACCTTGGCACCTCCAGAGGCCCACGCACACATGCTTACCCCACTGACCTCTTTTCCCCGCTGCACTTTGCTTTTCCATGGTTTGGGGAAGAGGGGAGGAATGGGGCAGGGACAGACAGGGAGGAGCCAGCAGCAAGCCCCAGTGGAGATAATGGGGGGCGTGGGGCTGAGCTGGTTAGGAGGCTGGTGGGCTCCAGGTGCCCCCTCCCTCTAGCTGCCTTTTGCACCTCACATTCAGGTGGACCCGGGGCTCGGCAGTATGCAGGCAGCGTGCCCCGCGTCCCTCCTCCGGATAGGCTGGAAGGAGCCTTAACCATGTGTCTGCAGGAGGCTGACAAATCAGAAGGCCTTCCCCCACATCAGAGCCCCGCTGCCTAGCAACCCCATCGGAGGGGTGTAGTTGACAGCACAGGACGCAGCCCTGTCACGAAGACAGGCGCGGGCTGCGGGGCTGACGCTGGGGTTGTTAAAGTCCCAGCTCGGGCTCGGGCTCTGCACCCTCCCGCCTCCGCCCCGCACGCCCAGCCAGGTCCCTACTCTGAAGACCCGAGTGACCCTCTTCTCTAGAAGGAACAGGGGTGAGGAGTGGGGGTGAAGCCCTGACCCACCCCACCCCCACGGACCACACCGGCCTCCTGTGGAAGCACCACTTCAAAATATTAGTCCTCATTTTCCTAAATCCACCTCTTCGTCTGGATTTTTTTTTTTTCTTTTCTTTTTTTAATCTAACCTTGGTTTCCACCCCCTTCAGGCCTCAGCAGAAAACAGCCTAGAGAAAACAGTTTAAGTGTTTGTGGGGTGGAGCGAGGAGATGTGCTTCCTTCAGTCTGCAGCTGGGTAATCACCCAGGTGCCCGCAGCGGAGAGGAGAGGAGCTTGGTTCTTGGGCACCAGGCCCCAGGCTGGCCTGGCCACACTGGTCACCACCCCCCCAACCTCCTGCCCCCAGCCCCAACCTCCCCAGGACGGGTGGACGTGATCCTAGGAGCTGCGGCAGCTATGTGCAAGGAAAGTTCTCCAAGTTGTGCTTGCGTCTGATCTGCCCTCCCAGTCACCCTCCAGCATCCTCTGAGGCCCTTCGGAGCTTGGGGGCGCCACTTCCAGCCCCGCCTCTCCTAGAGAGGCCCCTCCTCCCATGTCCCTCATTTCCTGGCCGCCAGGCCCGGCCGCCCCTCCCGCCGGGCAATTGCATGCGTCGGGGCGGCCAGGGTGGCTGTGACAGGGCGGCTTTGTCCGGGCCCCTGCAGCCGCCACCCCCGCCCTCCCGCCCGCCCCGCGCTCATTCCGGGTCTCCCCCCTCACTCCTGCTCCCGCTCGCTCTGGCGTGACGCCTTTGCACTGACCTCTACAGCTTCCTCTTCCAAAGCACACCGCAGTCACATGGGCACCCCGGCTCGGTGCCACGGCCGCTAAGCTCTCCCCACCGGCCAGCCAGCCTGGCTTCCGCCTCGGCTGCCCCTTGCCCGGAAAGCCGCGCCCCTCGACACCCCCCACCCACCGCCCGGTGACTTCCGTGCAGGAGTGCACCCTCCAAGTTGGGGGATGAGAATCAGGAGCCCCCGAACTAAGCCTTTGGGGGGTTCCCGCCTCCCAAGGCCCGGGCTGGCTGGGGAGGAGCGTGGTAGGAGGGGGCGCTGCACCTGCAGCACCAACTTTGGGGCGCTGCCTGGGATCTGGGGAAGCGGGGCGACCCCACCCCTCCCTTTTCCCTCCAACTTAGGGAAACTCCCCCCCGCAGCTCAGGCAGCATCCCCTGGGGCAAAGGTCTTGGCGGGAGGGTAACCTGGGGAGAGCTGGCACCCGGTGACGGGGCTGAAGGCACCGAGCGCGCGCGCACACACACTATACACACTTACACGCAGCCCCGGGAGACACAAAGAGCTGCTCCGCGACGCCGGCTGCGCAGCCCGAGGGCGGGAGGCGACCCAC